TCCGATATACCTGACTGCCTACAGCAACTTAGTCCGCTGAGTTTCTCGCCGGAACTTCTAAGTAAGTAGGGCTAGTGTTAGCAAATTCTCTCAAGTTGAGCGTGTGAGCTTATCTACCCACCCGTCCACGCGTAGCTGAGATAGCCTCTTACGCTACCGAAGAAAAAAAACGTCAACCTACCGAGCTATTTCACACGCTTGGGGGATGATCTCCCCTTAGTATATATCTTCGGAAGCGGTACTTCAACTTGTGGGAGATAAGCCTGACCACATATTTAAATATACTATTATAAATAAATATAAATATAAATATTTTACTAACAATCACGCCACGTTAACTGGTCCCGTGATAAGTTCGTAAAGAACTTGTGTTACAGGTACCGGATAACGGAAATAAATGTAAGATTTTTATTATACACATACATATATTTAATATACATCCATAATAACCCCGGAAAAGATATTTATATTTATCATACAAATATCTTCCCTTGGCGGGATTCGAACCCGCGACCCCCTAGTGTAGTGACCATGTCACTTACCACTACACCAGACAGACGTTAAATTTGGTCGGTAAATATTGGTCCCTCGATAATCGAAATTCGACTATAATTAATTGAAATTATAAGTTTGAACACTGTTATGCTTGTATTAACCATAATGGTTCTGTTGTAAAATTTCGCCAAGACTACACTATATACAATTATTATTGAAGTTAAACAATATTAATCTATTCTTAATTTGCCCACAGAATTTAAGCAATAACAAAAGTTTGACAATCAACATAATATATGTGTGTGTGTCAAATACATGGTAGTGTTATTGCTCTTGAGTTGTTAGGTCTCCTTCGGAGGCGCTCGGGCAGCTGTTAGCAAATTCCATCCCTCTTGGCTAAGCCTTTGCTCGCCCACCTGTCCTGGTGAAACTAGAAAGGCCTCCGGGCCACCAGTAATCTTTCAAACATAAAAAAAAACATGGTACTGTGTGTAATGTTTTTTTTATTGATTTAACGTATTATTAATGCATAATCTATGGGCTCCAGTAACCACTTAACACCAGGTGGGCTGTGAGCTCGTCCACACATCTCAGTAATAAAATAAAAAAAACCCGTCGCTTGCGACGAAGGACTCGACGAGCGACTTAACCCACAGACGCAGCCCACTGAGTTTCTCGCCGGATCTTCTCAGTGGGTCGCGTTTCCGATCCGGTGGTAGATTCTGCGAAGCACGGCTCTTGCTAGGGCCAGTGCTAGCAACGGTCCGGTTTGAGCCCCGTGAGCTCACCTACAGGTAAGGGTGAAGTTGAAATAGCCTTTCAAGGCTCTCAGTATAGGTAGGAAAAAAACGGTGCTTATATATAAGAACATACAGCAGTTCTTTTTTTTTATTTGTCTTGTAGGCAGACGAGGATACGGCCCACCTGATGGTGAGTGGTTAGCGTCGCCCATGGACTTCAGCAATGCAGGCAGGCAGAGCCAAGCCGCTGCCTACCGCTTAATACTCTCCACAAGCCTCGTTTGAAGAAGGACATGTCATAGCCCTCGGGTAACACCGCATTACGAGTAGAAGTACTGTCAAGCTTGCCTAAAAATAATATCGTATTTAGTATAACTTTTAAGTTTGGAATGTAAACATAATTAAATCTATCATTAGATTACTTTACAGTTACCGTGGTCACGGAAGACGGTCACGCGGGAATGAAAAGTATTCGTTACATTAATTTATATATTATTATACTATCTGTATCCGTCCGCTTCGCTGGGCATTTAAAGTTAACATCATCATTTCTCACCCCCACAAAGATTCTCATCATTGACGCCCCCGCAACTGGTGTAGGGAGTCCAACACTCACATAAACATTAGCCTATCCATTAAGTACATGTATTTTCTACATGGATACCAAATTTCAAGTCAATCGTATGCACGGTTCAGTAGTTATAACGGAACATCCGTAAAAACCACTGTAGATTTATATATTAGTGTAGGTAGATACAGAGCGCTTAAGACGCGACATTTGAGTCGACTATTATCAAAGGCGGCAATCTGACTTTTGGACAATGATTGGTAAATCAGAAAAACGAATTATTGACTTGGTATTCCATTGGCAGTCACAAAACTCTTCGGAACGACATCTTAGATAAATAACAGGTTAACTATTAACCTTTATTTAATGCAGGTTTTGAACCGTATTCTTTGAAGGAGACGATTATATTCAAATCAATCTGTATTGACATATCAATAAAATTTTTTTGTCCAAATGCACAGATTGCCACCTTTGATAATAGACGACTCATTTGTAAGTTTTCAACTGAAATCGGATCGTAGCTCCCCAGAATGAAACGTAAGGTATAAATAGACCCTTTCGTTTGCCGAAAACCAACTCAACCCATAGACACAGCCCACTGAGTTTCTCGCCGGATCTTCTCAGTGGGTCGCGTTTCCGATCCGGTGGTAGATTCTGCGAAGCACGGCTCTTGCTAGGGTTCGTGTTAGCAACGTCATCAGGTTTGAGCCCCGTGAGCTCACCTGCAAACGTTAGGGTTACGCTGAAATAGCCCCTAAGGCTATCAGCTTAGGTAGGAAAAAAAAAAGGCGTGGCAGCAAATCTCTTTACTTTGCTTAAAAAAAACTTCCAAAAATTGTAATTTTACATTTACGGATTTATTAAAAAAGCTAATAACAAAAATATACGTATAAATTAAAGTATCTAATTAATTAAAAGTACCACTAATAAAATACACACAAAAGTTACTTCGGCATTATTGTTTGAGAGATAATCTCGAACACTATTCTCGAAAATCATTGTCTGAAAAGGCATGGGTACATTTCGTGCGTGTCATTTAAAGGAAGGGTAGATTTATTATTCAAAAAAATAGTAATAGGGCAACGTGCTTGATCTTAAAACGATTACCGAAGCAATGTCAAAGTTAAAAGCTATATAATTATGCATTTTTGCATGATTCTCAGAAATAAGCCCGAAAGGACCCGTGCGACATCAGAAGGGACCGTACCGTTGATTTAATGATTAATAATAGTATAGTATAACCGATATATAATAGTAAATACTAGTACATATGAGTCGACTATTATCAAAGCCGGCAATCTGACTTTTGGACAATGATTGGTAAATCAGAAAAACGAATTATTGACTTTGTATTCCATTGGCAGTCACAAAACTCTTCGGAACGACATCTTAGATAAATAACAGGTTAACTATTAACCTTTATTTAATGCAGGTTTTGAACCGTATTCTTTGAAGGAGACGATTATATTCAAATAAATCTGTATTGACATATCAATAAATTTTTTTTGTCCAAATGCACAGATTGCCACCTTTGATAATAGACGACTCATTTATCTTTTTAATTAAAGGTTTTATAATAATAATTTATTTATTTCTCTCTTAAAGGTAGAGAGTACAAATACAAATAGAAATTAACCTTATAATATATTTTGTAAGCCTTTGAAAGAGCTGTAGTCTGTACTAGGTTCAAAGATCTGTATTACTGATCTCCAGGCTCCCTCCTTCTTAAGATAGATTAGGTTAGGTTAAGTCGTGAACAGATGCTGCGGAAAAGTGTTGAGAGATCATTAGGTGTTATTATTTAAGGACATTCATTATCAGTCATATCATTTGGTATTAGCATCAATAGTTCGTTTTTTTTAATTGAACTTAAATTAAGTTTACCCCGTTCAAATGACCGAAAAAGGCTTTTTGTTATGACTAGTAGTCCCGCTGTGGTCGAACTTCGACTATAATTAATTGAAATTATAAGTTTGAACATTATTCTGGTTCTATTATTATTGATTATTGTCAAAGACTATTTATTATATTTCTATAGTGACAGATTTCGCCAAGAAAGATAAACAATATTAACTTATTCTCAATTTGACTACAGACTTTCAGCAATAACAAAAGTTTGACAGTAAGTAAAGAGTATGTGTGTGTGTGTCAAATACATGGTAGTGTGTGTAATGTTTTCTTTCTTGACTTAATGTATTTTTACGCATAATTTTAAAAATATATTAACCTTCTGCACTTCTTCTCTATATTATCTATAAGTGTGGGAAATTTCATACTCCTCCGTCCGCGCAATTTTCGTAAAAAGGGGTACAAAGTTTTTGCTTCACGTATTAATATACCTATAGATATTTTAACCAAATTATAAACTTTAAATGGCTCTCCTGTTAAGTTCCAAAAAAGTCTCTTAAACCAAATAGCCAACCAAATAAAGACAAAATAAACAAACGCGAACAAATCGTAAACGGTAAAATTAATTTTAATCGCGTGAAAAAAAACATTTTTAAAAGCGCGAGATCGTAAACGGTAAAATTAATTTTAATCGCGTAAAAAAACATTTTTAAAAGGGCGAGATCTTAAACGGTAATATTAATTTTAATCGCGTAAAAAAGACATTTTTAAAAGCGCGAGATCGTAAACGGTAAAATTAATTTTAATCGCGTAAAAAAAAAACATTTTAAAACGTTCGAACGACGATGCCGTAAAATTAACGCGCACGTCCAATAAAAACGTTGTGATTCTCAATTATAAGCGTATGTTAGTGTAATATAATAAAAACATACAATAATGAAGCCATCACGGCCCGTATGGAATATAATAATGGCTAATTCATCGCTGCGTTATCTGAGCGCTTAATCCTCGCCCGAAATTGCCTGGCAATCAAGACATTGAACCAAATTATTTTGTAGTTTACCGAATGACATCTTATCGCTTGCAATTAAAGTTCAGTTTACGTTGTATTTAGCTAGTGGATTTGCTGATAAAGAAAAATCGACTCTAAATCGAAGGTACACGATGTGTTTTGCGTTCGATTGAGGGTTCAGCCGACAACTCCCACTAAGGCGTGGCTCCATCGCTAGCATGACCGACTGGAATCGTCAGTATCGAACTGCCTTCCAGACGTGAATGAGTCAATAGTACCGGACTACGATCGCGTCGCGTTGTGTCGTGCCGTGTGTGTTACAAATCAAAAAATTATAATGGAGGACGTTAACAAACTCACGAAGATACCTTCGAAGAACTTCTCCATCGAGTCCATAGTCGGGTTGAACGAACGCCGATCCCCCGAGATCGATATAGAGACGAACATCTCGCAGGACTATTCGGGAAATTCGCATTCCGAAGACGAGGACTTGAAAGTTAGGGAGGGGAAAATGAGTTATTATTTCGATCGGAGTCGTGTTAATAATTTTCCCTTCTTCATGGCTTACGATAAAAGGGGTTATCAGAATGAGCAAGCGGCGCAGGAGGATTTGAAGAGGGCCAGTCCGGGCAGCGTCAGGAGTGAGGTGGACAGCGACGGAGTTGACGAAAGACAGCACGGTAATATTGAGAATGAAAAAAAGCATGCTATAATTGAAGACACGAGTGGACGAAGGGGACATGACACAATTTAAGTTAATTTTGAGATAACGGGCGACAAACTTTGGCTACTTTTACTTTTTCGTACAAAACTCCTACATTACATACAATATCTAAAAATAGCGTTTTAAACCGGGAGTTTTAAGGTCTAATATAGGCACATAACACCTTAATTCAATGTAAAAACAATCTTAAAAATGGTACTTAACCCCTTGATTTACTCATGTCTTCAATTCTCCTACAACTAGGTATAATTTCGGTTTTGCGCGACGGATACCACTAAGGTACTCGGATTGACTTAAATTATAACACTTATCTAATAAATGAATTAAAAATACATATAGAAATCAGCTGTTCCAATACCTGGCTATCATTTTAATGAACTATGTGAGCGTTTGTACAAATCGTAAAGTTTTTATTCTAGAACGCATTCAGAGGTGCTTTTTGACTTTTACAATCGAGTCGAATGTAGATTAGAGTAGAAAAAGAAGAGTAGAAGAGTAGAGTAGAGTAGAAGAATTATAGTAGAATCGATATGAAATTGGATTCGATTTGTTCTTTTCCGTATAAAGAGTTGGATTTTCATATTATACTTAGAGCAGAGGCTCCCAAACTTTTCTTGTCTATTGCCCACTTTGAGAATAAATTATTTTTTAGCGCCCCCATTTCTTCATCCACTTATAAACCGCTATAGTGAGAGCTTACTTGGTGCCTAAGAGTCCTCCTAGATGAAATTACAAATCGCTTCCCAAGCCTCTACACGACGCCACCATTTCTGGATCTCTTACGGTCCCTGTTTAGGCCTGCAGCGCCTACAAGGGGGCGTTATCGCCCACCTTGGGAAAGGCTGACTTGGAGTTTGAGCGGCGAAAACTCAAAAATAAGGCAAAATTTTGGGCTGTGCGCAAATTTATTACGGCGCTATTGAAATGGCTTCGAGAAATGCGATCAGCATTGAAGATATTAATGATAAAGAACGACTAGGTACATTAAGCTGTTTTGTTCAGGCTTTTTTTTTATTTTTTTTATTTCTTAGATCGGTGGACGAGCTCACAGCCCACCTGGTGTTAAGTGGTTACTGGAGCCCATAGACATCCACAACGTAAATGCGCCACCCACCTTGAGATACAAGTTCTAAGGTCTCAAGTATAGTTACAACGGCTGCCCCACCCTTCAAACCGAAACGCATTACTGCTTCACGGCAGAAATAGGCAGGGTGGTGGTACCCACCCGCGCGGACTCACGAGAGGTCCTACCACCAGTAAAAATTATGCTTGCGAACTCATGTCTCCAAGTTGACGGCGGCTGTTGATGTCTCGACCGTCTACGGTAACCACTTAACGGCAGGTTGGCCGTGAGCACCTTCTCTGGTCTAAGCAATAAATAAAAAAATAGTTTAAAAAAAAACTAACAAAATACGCTTTTATAGAAAATCCAACTAAAAAAATTGAAAATAAATTTTAATAAATTTGAATTAAAAATAGTGTAAGAAAAAATGATTTTATTGTAAAAAAAGCGTGGGGTGTCAGGATAATATAATAGTTATAACTACTTTATACCATGCATCCATTATTTATTTTTAATTTTTTAGTTGAATTTCAATTTTTTCAATATTTTTTTTTAAATATTGAATTGTCCTCGGTCCTTAATAAGTATACCAAATTTCGAGTTAATCCAACGTTTTGAAGGGGNACTTTGTATTCCATTGGCAGTCACAAAACTCTTCGGAACGACATCTTAGATAAATAACAGGTTAACTATTAACCTTTATTTAATGCAGGTTTTGAACCGTATTCTTTGAAGGAGACGATTATATTCAAATCAATCTGTATTGACATATCAATAACATTTTTTTGTCCAAATGCACAGATTGCCACCTTTGATAATAGACGACTCAAGTATACCAAATTTCGTGTTAATCCGACGTTTTGAAGGGGGTCAAAATCATGTTCAAAGATTCCGTTACATACTTAGGTACGTCTGAAGCTAATAAAAGCGTATTAAAAACAATACAATACAACATAACAATAAATAATTGAACTTATACATCAATGTGATGACTTCTCAATTCGTTATACACTCCGTCGGTAGGTCTAATTTTTATGTTTGTCTAATTTTCATATTATTGGCCTCTGTTTGTGTTCGACACTAAATAATTAAGCCACAAACAAAAGGTAGCTTCGAACAAAAGCTACGTTTCTTTTGAATGGCAAGGATACTCCGAAAGCTTTCCCTCAAAGCTTGTCGTAAAAATATTAAAAGTGCAATAATAGGCGTTGCCGACGCCGCATTTAGGACAACGAACCGAATCTTAAGAATAATTACGTGCAATAAAATAATCACATTTACCATTAGGTCTTCGAGTATTATTAAAAAAATTGTGGCTTGTAACGGGAGTTTGTCGGATGGTTCTAATGAAAATAGCATATCGACGTTTGAAAGGCAAACATGACTAAGCGACAATAACTGCTTTATACATAAATGATAGGCAATAACCATATTCGATGCGCAAAAAAAAAATATTTCTAGGTCTATTAAAATCATTTCAATCCTACAGCTACTAGCTAGATTCGTAAAAATAAATTTTGTTTTCAGGTATTTCAACTTTTAATTAGTTTACTGTAAAGTTCACGCATTATCGCTTAGTCACGTTTGCCTTTCAAGCGTCGATATGTAATTTATAACAAGACACGCCCAAACAGCAAACCGAATAGACAATTAGTGTCCAATTGCTGTTCGTTAGTCTCGCTAAAACTTGAGAACGGCTGGACCGATTTGGCTAATTTTGAACTTGAATTATTTTTAGAAGTCCAGAGAAGGTTTAAAAGGTAGATAATATGAAAATGCTCGGAATTAAATAAAAATAACAATTTTGGTTTCCCTTTGATGTGTCCACCGTCGGACGGATTCCTTTTGTTTGTTTTAAGTTTATTTTATACAAAAGTTTAGGTCTTTTATTTCTCGATTGAGGCGCTACGAAGTCTGCCGGGTTAGCTAGTAATCAATAAAAGTTTCAAAACAGTATCAATTGGTTTAGAGGTTATTAAAATTTTGTAATTATTGTAAGCGCAGCGTTGGGCGTCCCCTTGCCCGTTGGACCGATGACTTGCGGTGATATGCTGGGAGAGATTGGATGCGGAAGGTGGAGGATCGTTCATTGTGGCGGACTATGGGAGAGGCCTACATCCAGCAGTATCTATATACAGGCTGATGATGATGATGAACTATTGTACTGTCATCGTTCCTTGACGCGTGTGCGAATTGTCAAGTTGATCGGATGTCTTCAAGTCAATGAGAATGACCTTCAAAGGTTCCGTTTTAAACAAACACGCTGAAGGAATAACATCGTGTAGTAAAAATCTAACCCGCAAAATTATAACTTACGTAATTACTGGTGGTAGGACCTCTTGTCCCTCGCCTATTTCTGCCGTGAAGCAGTAATGCGTTTCGGTTTGAAGGGTGGGGCAGCCGTTGTAACTATACTGAGACCTTAGACATCTCAAGGTGAGTCGCGGTATTTACGTTGTAGATGTCTATGGGCTCCGCTAACCGCTTAAGACTAGGTGGGCCGTGAGCTCGTCCACCCACCTAAGCAATAAAAAAAAGATTCAGCCAGTCAGTTCAGTTTCCTAGTTCACTGTTTAACCGACTTCAAAAACCGAGGTACCGAGCCAATAGAAGCGTGTTGTTAACGTGGTGTTTTCTCGTCTTGTGCTAAGCTGTTACCGGCGTTCTTAGATGCTGCTTAAATTTGACCAATTTGAACTTTAAAAAAAATATCGAGGGACATTGAAAGATGTTTGGTTTAAGCAAAATATCGCTTAACACGCGCCATTTATTTTTGTAATTAAACATGCGTCTTATTTGGTACTATTATCGACAGTTTTTTTTTTTTATTGAGCTTCAATTAAGTTTACCTCATTCAAACAGCTGACGATATGATATTTTTTCCAATTTTCGCCGAACCCTTCGTGTTAAGTTAAAAACAAAGTTACGTGAGATTTGTGTGATTTATAATTTCTTGTCGCTTTCTTGCAGCCTTACATACCGTGTAGACCGAATGGTAAATAGTCGACGTCGCCCAAAACACGTCATTACGGATCCTCCCGATCCATTAACGATGCTTTTTGGTACCACAAGCACCGGTCACCGTCCTCGTTGAACCCGACGCTTGCGGCGAAGGGCTCGACGAGCGAATTTACTCATAGACACAGCAGAGTTTCTTGCTGGATCTTCTCAGTGGGTCGCGTTTCCGATCCGGTGGTAGATTCTGCGAAGCACTGCTCTTGCTAGGGCCAGTGTTAGCAACACTTCCGGTTTGAGCCCCGTGAGTCCACTTACATGTTAAGGGGAAGCTGAAATAGCCTCTCAAGGCTATCAGCATAGGTAGGAAAAAAAAGAATCTCATGTAATATCAATAAAGCAACGCGCCTATAAAACTTACAAGCAATAATCATGCAAATGTGTTTATTCAACAAACAACCAAACAAAAAAAACAAACACATCAAAATTTGTAATTGAATAAATGTAACATTGAATCACTGACAATAAGCTTAATAGAGCTTAAATTTGTTTACAAAACAAGAGCTTTTAGCGAGGGTGACAAAAAACGGGGGTTAAGTTTGCTTGTGGTGTCGAGTGTAAGTGAAATATTATAGGAGAGGAACAATATCTGAATTCGACTTTACGTTTTGAATTATAGAGTCGATTTTTATACACATGCCGAACGAGATTTACGACGAATCGGTTCTTAGGTGAACATATTTTTTGTTCTAAGACAGATTGTAAAAGATCTGATGAGTGATGGCAGATAAAATAAAAACAATCTTTTTTTTATTGCTTAGATGGGTGGACGAGCTCACGGCCCTCTTAGTGTTAAGTGGTTACTGGAGCCCATAGACATCTACAATAAGCAATTCTCTCAGGTTGAGCCCGTGAGCTCACCTACCGGCCCCCGTGAA